TTTTTTTTATTTTCATTCTACAGCTGGTAAACTTACGCTTCCTAACTGTTTTCTAACAAACAGAGAAATTATCAGGTTTTCAGAAGCCACAATTGAAAAAGTACACCCTCTTTTGTACTGACACATTTAACACCTTCTGACACAAAGTATCTTAACTGCTTGTCTTCTGAGGCTCTTGTGTTGCTTAAAAAAAAAGCTCAGTCCTGGAAAGAATTAGCGCGAAAAGTACGGTGTTTATTGTTGAACCTCAATTAAATATTTAAATGGCTGCACGACCGTCAAAGAAAGACCAAAAAAACCAATTTCGTTAAGTAAGCAACAGTAGAACAAATTAGTGTCTCAGCCCGGACCCGTTTTTTTGTGGAGGGGTGAAGTAGTGACAAGAAAGGAAAAAATTGTCATTTAAGCTTTCTTAGCTCTCATCCAAATGCGCAATGCAGTTTTGAGCTACATTCTTTTCTGATTCCATTTAAGTAAATTTTTTACTGTAAGCTAAAGTTAACACTGCTATACGACTGTTCAAAAATTATTTTCTTCATTAAAATTTTACAATTTCTTCTCGCCCTGTATGTTAAAGTGAATTTTAATCTTGAAGCGCTCTTTATTGACGCTATAATTACTTGTTATTCTGACATTGTTCGTGATACGTTTGAGTACAAGAGACTACCCACCCAGAAAAAAAGATCATTTAAAAAAAAAATTTTCCTCTACAACTCTTTTCTCGTTTGAACTTCCTGGCGTAACTCAGTTTGTAAATTTGTGCTTTCTGGTATAGTGGAAACTGCTACAAACCTCAGTGGTTTAAGAAATTTGAAGTGATCGTAAAACTTTTACAATTTTTGTGCTGTAAATACAACTTTTGTGCTGTAAAGCGTTCAAATTGTAGTATCACAGCGGTTTTTTAATTACTCGGAAATTAAAGAAATCTTTCTATAGAATACGCTTCACACATGTATCAGGCAGTAAACACTTCAAAATTTTTTTGTTTTTTTTGTATTTTTTGTTGTTCCAATTAACTAATTATTTTTAAGCGTAGCAAGTTATGAGTTAAAAACAGGACTTATTTTCTGACATTACTTTGTGACATATTAATAACACAACAATTGTAATTTTGTCGTCCAATAAATAAATTTCTTCAGTCCCTCTTTGTTTCAAGTTGAGCAAAAGAATTTCTTAACTACGGCTTGATTTATGCATTTTCTCAGGAATACTTCTTAATTTAACAACACTTAAAAGCAGTCAAGTCAGGGAAAAAAAACCATTTTTAGGTAAATGTAACGGCTCAGTATGGTTCTCAAACACCACCTAAACTTACATCTTCTTATATGGATTCCCAAAACTTCTTCGGTGTCCCATTGCTTTGACTAGAATAAGCGTGTCAAGGCGAGGAATGCGTCTGACGCAATTTTCAATTTCCTCCTCGCTTACTGTAACCAAATGACAGTTCTCGGCTTCTGAAGGCATTGGATAACGACCATCTTTGGTCACCCACGGATGTACCTAAAAAGACCAGCGCGATCGGTACAGTAATTGCAAGAGTTGTATGTGCAAAAAGAGTAGACAACTTTACGGGAATGTAAGACAGTTGGTGGCACACCTTAATTTCGTGGAGCATTATGCGTAGTCCCGGATCTTTTTTCAAGATGCTTTTAATCAACGACTTTAATTTATCGCTTATCTGTGGCCTGTAAACCGAATTTAATAAACCATTTATAAACGGCTTTAATCAACTATCAGATTAGTGAAATTTGGTTTTTTTTCACGCAGGACCTCTCAAACTAAAAAATCTAATGTTTGTAGACTAACTTTTAAACAGAAAGCAGTAATAAACTGTAGAAAAACCTATAATGCTTCGCTCGACAAAGTAATAAAAAGAGTTCATGTTCTAATCTTCAGAAAAAAATAACTTAAGTAGAGATTCAATATTAATTATTGAGTTTTATTTCAATAATACTGCTGACAACTACAGTAGCATAATTTTTTTGGATAAAAGGCTTTTAAGTAATTTTTTGGAGAGGTCTAAATCTGCATCATTTTTCACAGCTTTTACAACTTTCAACTTTATTTAGTGATTCAGAATTGACAGCACACATTTTTGAGCCTTAACTCTATCAAACCTCATCGGAATTTTTAATTAGTTTGTGTTCTGTTTATTACTGTAGAATATTTTGTATATCTGAAGTAATATTTGCAATTACTTTTCCGGAAAAACCAAGGGATCATTTTTGATCTTCTTATGAAGCGCAATAATATAATTGTCCCAAAATGGAACTTTTCCGATGACAAACGCATAAAGCGTTATGCCGAGGGACCATATGTCTTGGGCTCGTCCACTGTAAAAATAAGATGCATTCTCTAAAAAAGAGTAAAAAGTTATTGCTAAAGAATAATGCAGTTGGAAGAGAATGATAGCAAAAAATAATGATACAATTGTTGTTTGAAAACAAGTTGACAGGTAAAATCATCAGGTTTTTAAAATTGAACTTTAATTTTTATTTCGTTTCAGCATCAACCTGGTAGTCTTCCGGTTCTATGCTGGAAATTAAGAACGCTATTAGCGTCCAAGTTTTTACTCAGAACAACCCAACTATTACTACTTTAAAGTTGCAAAACTTTTAAGTTTTATCTTACATTATTTGGTTTTCTGACCGTGCTGGTTTAAAAACCGCGAAAACTTTAGTTTCTTAAGTCTGACGCTTTTAGCAGAGCCAAATGTGCCCAATATACAGCTGCATAGCTTGTCAGAAGTTCCTTCTAAGCTCTTCTATTTGATTGTTTTAACGTTGACACTATTTAAAAGAAAAGTAAGAGCCACTTATTTTAAGTGATACTAATTTGCAAAACCTGTAAGTTAAAAAAAAGTGTAAAAGAACCTAAAACTAGTTGAATTTTTTCAGCCTATTCTTTTGAGTGCTTGTCAAGATCGTTTTTACGCCAAAAAAAAACCACAAATTTTTTCTCATATTTCTGCACTGGAGCATTCGTAACCTTTTGTAGATATCCCTTTCTCAAAGCTTAAGCACTAAAAACGCAAAAGTTTTAATGTTAAGGTTTTCCGATTCCAAATTGCTTTGCATCGCAAAGCGAATAAAAGCACTGGTTCCATCCCTTTGTAGCTTTAGAATCAGAAAAGGTTCAATCAGTAGACTGTTCGACGATACAGATCCATGTAAATAGTTCTTTTAAAGCTTAACGAAACACAAAATTCACTAAAATCAAAACTCTTTTTCAAAAATTTTCTCAGCTATATTTCGCCAGCAACTTGATAAGATTATACCTTAATTTGTTTATAAACCGGCAGTTAAGACTTCCCCATTTATAAGAAGTAATTTGGGTGTTAGGACTAAACAGCAACGTGAAGCCAATGTAATCCCTTCCCTCAATTTTGCAAAGACATCCCAAGTGGTTAATAGACTTCCTTCAGGCTTTTTATTATAAGAACTATCACTCTTAAAAACAAATTTTTTAAAAAAAAATCTCAGAATTTAAAAGGATAATTAACTTAAATATACAAATATCCCTCCAAAAAATCCCAAATACCCTAAAAATTAAAGTAGTGGGTTGCAAAATTTGGTGGATCTGAAAAGTCATCACTTTCCAAAGACAAAATTGGATGGCTTCCAGACCGACCAGTAATTTGATTAAACATGAACGTTTTTTGAATTTATTATTTGGAGACACTCTTATAAGTGCTTGTAACTTGCATGTGCTTATTTGTTCGAGGAAATTTTTACGGGAATTTTAATCTTGTGACTTATCAGAAATGATACCAGTAAGGGCTTCTGGCGCCATAAAGGCTGGGGTACCCGCAGTGCCCGTGAGAAACGCATCAATCCCTTCAAACTCATACGACACACCAAAATCAGCTATCTGAAATTGGGTAATTTTGGTGAATTCTTGAACTTTAAAGTTTAACTAAACAACAAAGGGAAAAATCTGCTATAAACAGCCGGATTACATTGGAGGTTTTAGCAGAAAAGAACATAATAAATTGTTAGCAATTGTAATATTCATCATTCTCTTCATTTCAGATTGAAATACTGTGCTCATTAAAAGGTTTGACTGGACGTATATGCATTTATTTGGATGCGCCTATGGTTGACAAATACTACTTACTAAAAACCAACCTTTACTTGACCGGTTTCAGACAACAATAGGTTTGCTGGTTTGATATCGCGATGTACAATTTTTTGAAAATGCACTGAAAAAGTTTCTTTGGTTGACCAAACGATGTGAAGCACTTTATAAAACTTTTTTGTAAAAAAGAAAACTGTCGACTTTCTTTGGATGTGCATTTAAAGTGTATCACACGTTCGTTTGTTATTCTAATCTTTTTTTTCGTTTTCCTTTTACTGATAGTTCATAAAAGCAGTTTTTTAGAGAAGCTTTACTCAAAACAAGGAAGCATAAAGATCGATGAACGATTGAAAGTTTGGTGTAACTAACAGAAAAAGAGTTTCCATAAATAGAATGTTAACTGTGGAACAAAGACGTTAAATCAGAGGAAAATTTGATTTTTTTTTCTGTGGTTGATTGCCTCCTAAAATTTCGTCCGTAGTTGATTATCAAAAAAAAAATTAATCCTTTATTTATTTTTTCTTCTATTTTTTTTCATGTTCAAAAGTTGTTTTGGAAAAAAAAAAAAAGAGGAAAGGAATAGTACATTAAACTGCCATTGATCAAACCTCTAATTTTTTGCTTGCATAAAAAATTCCAAAGTCTTCAGTATCTATTGATTGTTGTTTTTTTGTCTTCTAACAATTTTTTCTCATTGTAGAAATAGAGTTGTTAATCTTTTTTCTC